TTCTCTTGGGTTCTATTTAGGGGTATTTTGAGGGCCTACAGAAGGAAGGGTTTTACTATAGAACCCTATGGGATTTTTTTTTTTTAATTTTCAAATGGCTATAACTTGAAAACAGTAAGTGATAGACACACACGGTCTTCAGTATGATCACAGGACAATAAAACAAATCAAATAAAATATAGATTGAGTCCCTGGGGTCACCCCACCCCCTTCTGTTTGAGAACTTCTAAACGGTCGAGATCCCCACCCCTAAACGATATATATTCATGTATGGGACAATAATACAAATTAAATGAAATATAGTGGGAGTCCTTCTGGGTCACCCCACCCCCTCCTGTTTGAGAACTTGTAAACGGTCGAGATCCCCACCCAGAAACCATATATATTCTTGTGTGGGACAATAAAATAAATCAAATGAAATATAGGGGAAGTCTCTGGGGGAGACTCCCCACCCCCTCTGTTTGAGAACTTGTTAATGGTCGAGATCCCAACCCCTAAACCATATATATTCTTGTATGGGACAATAAAACAAATCAAATGAAATATAGGGGATGTCCACAGGGGTCACCCCACCCCCTTCTTTTTGAAAACTTGTAAACGGTCGAGATCCCCACCCGAAACCATATATATTCTTGTACGGGACAATAAAACAAATCAAATGAAATAAAAGGCGAGTCACCTGGGGTCACTCCCACCCCTTTCCTGTTTGAAAACTTGTAAACGGTCGAGATCCCCACGCCTAAACCATATATATATATATATATATATATATATATATATATATTCCTGTTCATGATTTCAAGAAGATTTGAATGACATACAGGGTTAATCCCTAGGCGTCACTTATGCATATCACTTTACTTGACCATACCAATTTGTACTGGACTTTGCCAAATGTCAGGCGACCATGGGAATGACTCATTATGGGAGCTTTGTTTGGGAGACTTCCTAACAACATCCTGTTACAATTATTTTTTGTATTAAGTAATTTTTTTTAAAAGTCAGAAAAAAACGTTAACCGCACAATCTACACATCTACAACCTATTTGAAATAATACACATCTACTGTTGCAAACTTTCCACAGGTGCTATCCAGCACTTTGATTTTATATGTATATACCAAAAAAAATATATTTTCTTGAATAAAAATTGTTTTGTGTTTTTTTTCATCAATTTGATGATTAATTATTAAATGTTAATTATGAACAAATGTATGATTACTGCTAATTGGTATTTATACACAGCTAAATTTGGTATTATTGTTGTATGTTTGAAAATCATGATTGTTGTTTTAACTTTCTTTGATGTAAATACTGCATTTAGCTTGGTATGAGTAAAACATTGAAGATTTCAAAAGAAAAACACGAAAGATAATTGATTTTAACAACTTGGCCCCTTTGATCTCACTTTATTTTGAAACAATGAAAAAAAAAAATTATATCACAACACTAACCAAAACATAATTTAATATTTATTCAGCACAAAAAAAAAAACTACTTGAGAATCTCACTTTATTTTGAAACAATGAAAACATAAATTTATAGCAATACACTAACCAAAAGATGATTAAGATTTATTCAACACAAAAACAAACGTCAGAATCTCACTTTATTTAGAAACAATGATTTTTTTTTATATAGAAATACATTAACCAAAACATGATTAAGATTTATTCAACACAAACAATGTTGTCAGAATCTCACTTTATTTTGAAAACAATGAACAAAAAAAATATTTACAGCAATACACTTACCAAAACTCGATTACAAAATTATTAAACACTAAACCAATAAAAAGGGTGCGAAAGTGAAAGGGGGCGAACGTGAATGGGCGTGAACGTGTTTTTGGGCGAACGGACCCGGATTCTTGCCACCAATGGGTCTTCAACACGGCGAGAAATCCCACACCCAGAGGCAGCCTGGAGCAGGCCCGGGAACACAATGTAACTAAATCAAGGAAATGACGCCATTCTATGCTCCGAAACATATAGCTGAACCAAAATTAAAAAAATATACAAGACAAACAAAGGCTAGAGGTTCCTGACTTAGGACAGACGCAAAAAGGCGGCGGGGTTAGACAGGTTTTATGAGCGCTCAACCTTCCCTCTTCACCTCTAGCCAATGTAGACATATATAACTTAAACGTCCACAATTTTGAGTGTCACTGCCAGAGAGTAAATTTTGGGGTCCCTAACAAATATTGCCTCTGCAGCTGCCCCAAAGAGCCCACTCCTAACGAAATCTGCAGAAGGGGTCTTCTACATATATGTACTATAATTTAGTTGCTATCTCCCTTTATGTTTAATATAAGTTGCTAGCTATGAAATTTAATAATAAACTACTATTTCAAAAGGCTATCTGCTTCTTCAGAAAATAACCATACTTTATATATGTCAACAATGTATTAGTTTGTGATTAGATCTAGTTTAAGGTGAACCACTAGTGGTTGGTCAATGATATTTGGCCCTGCCCCCTCAGTCATAGTCTATTGACTTTGAATCTTTTGCTTAGTTTACATGTATTAGTTTGTGATTAGGTCAGTTTATGGGGAACCACTAGTGGTAAGTCAATGATATTTAGTATGCAGTTGTATAAGCACTGGTACATCTCATTTCCATGGAGATTATTTGGCTCCGCCCCCTCAGTCATGGTTTATTGACTTTAAAACTTTTGCTTAGTTTACATGTATTAGTTTGTGATTAGGTCAGTTCAAGGGGAACCACTATTTATTCTCAGCTCTTTTGAAAATCCTCCTCCCCTTCTGTGTCTGGAGCGATTTTGTTATACATGTTATTTGGCTACCCTCAGATAATCATTCCGTACACAGAATCTGAAATGGGATTTAGTGTAAAACCCATACCACAAGCTATAAAAGACAGACATAAGAAAATGTAAAAAATTCACATGAGAAAACCCAACATCATAATTTATTGTTTTTTAGCCAAACCTGGCCTGAAGGGAAAAGTGAGCTTTTCTCATCACTTGGCGTCCGTCGTCGTTTTCGTCGTCGTCCGTCGTCGTTAGCTTTTTACAAAAATCTTCTCCTCTGAAACCACTGGGCCAAATTTAACCAAACTTGGCCACAATCATCATTAGGGTATCTAGTTTAAAAAATGTGTCCGATGACCCCGCCAACCAACCAAGATGGCCACCATGGCTAAAAATAGAACATAGGGGTAAAATGTAGATTTTGGCTTATATCTCTGAAACCAAAGCATTTAGAGCAAATCTGACAAGGGTAAAACTGATTATCAGGTCAAGATCTATCTGCCCTGAAATTTTCAGACAAATCTGACAACCTGTTGTTGGGTTGCTGCCCCTGAATTGGTAATTTTAAGGAAATTTTGCAGTTTTTGGTTATTATCTTGAATATTATTATAGATAGAGATAAACTGTAAACAGCAATAATGTTCAGCAAAGTAAGATCTACAAATAAGTTGTCATGACCAAAATTGTCAGTCAACCCCTTTAGGAGTTATTGCCCTTAATAGTCAATTTTTAACAATTTTTTGTAAATTTTTGTAATCTTTTACAAAAATCTTCTTCTCTGAAACTACTGAGACAAATTTAACCATACTTGGCCATAATCATTATTAGGGTATCTAGTTTAAAAAAAATTATAATGACCCCGCCTTCCGACTATCATGGCCGACTTGGTTAAAAATAGAACATAGGGGTAAAATGCAGTTTTTGGTTTATATCTCTGAAACTAAAGTATTTAGAGCAAATCTGACGGTAGCAAAAATGTTCATCAGATTTAGATATATCTGCCCTGAAATTTTCAGACGAATCCGACAACCCGTTGTTGGGTTGCTGCCCCTGAGTTAGTAATTTTACAAAAATTTTGCAGTTTTTTGTTATTATCTTAGATATCATTATAATATCTAATATCTAATACTATTAATTATGATTTTAACCTTATTTTACATGATTTCCAAAGCATCAGTAAATACAGGTGAGCGACACAGGCTCTTGAGAGCCTCTAATTATGATGAGTTTTAACAGATGTAGAAGACGTTGACTGGTGGAGCATTGACTTTTGATTTGTCAAAATTGTCATATGCTTATTCAAAAAGTGCACTCAACACAGCAGCTTGAGGAAGATTTGTAAATAAAAAAACTGTAACGTAAGGCATTCTTGAGATAAATCTGAGGAGTTTAGACTGAAAAGGAATTAATAAACAGTGATATGTTTATCGTCTTTCAGGTAAACATACCACATTTGTAGCCAGGGTGTGAGATGTAGACAAAGTTCCCCCTTTGTGAAAAACAAAAATATAATTAACCCCTTATAAAGTGGAAATTCAGATTAAAAAGTTTGACTATTAACATTTGAGCGGCATGACCAAAATGACTCCATTAGAGAATAGTCTGGCTAATAACAGGCTTTCATGTACCAAGTCAGGAATATGACAGTTGTTTTCCATTCGTTTATTATCACAAAACACAGATCAAGTTTGAATTTTGATGGCGTCACTTTTTCTGTTCTAGAGTTATGCCCCTTTACAAATGGAAAAATTTCTTAAATTTTCATTCCGTTCTATAACTTTAGTTTGACTCAACTAAATGTTATGAAACTTATGCACAATGCTTATTAGGGCTTTTCCAGAATTAATTGTATGGGGGGGGGGGGGGGCTCGGAAGCACTTTTATTTAAATTTGATGGGTGGTGGTTATTTAAGAAAGATTGCTTGAACAACAATTAAAAATGTTTGCATGGTGGGGTCAAATAAAAAGTGCATTCCAACTTATGTCCCTTCATAACATTATATATGCAAGCAGGGGCATCATCTGTGTCCCATGGACACATTCCCCATTTATTTCAAACTATTATGAATTAATTTTTTTAAACTTTTACACTGAGCTTTGTATGGAACTATGAAAGGTTTAGACCTCTTTTTTTTTTTCATTTAATGACAATTATATAAAAATTCAGAGAAAGTTAACAAATATTTAAACAGATGTGATGTAAACTGAAATTGAGCTATTTTATAATTTCAGTTTGAAGATCTATTTGTATTCATCTATTCAAGGTCGTGTCAATTTATAACTATAGGTAAGTGAACATAATAGTCAAATTGAATTGGAACGATTAATAATTTAGTTTATCAAAAAAACTACAATGTTCATGTGAATATTAAAATTCTAAAAGGGGAGATAATCAAGAACTAGCTGCATGGTTCATTCTAGTAAGTAGCATTACACCAGTTCAGTGCTTTTTAATTCTTTTTTAACAGTATTAACACTTTTCACTCTGCAACTTCTATACAAAAATAACATGAAGAAATTACAAATATTTAATTTCATTTAAGAGTAAAAAGCTAATAAAACATTGCAATCATTAAAATAGGAATTGTATATAACAATAGAGTTGTTAACTAAGAAATCAGCTGTATGAATGAAAGATGGGAGGGAGATAGTGTTCTCACTAAGGCAGTCAATGAGTCATGGATTCATGAAAATTGGTCTGGATTCATCATTTTCAAAACTGATGATTCTAAAGATGCATAAGGATCATAAAATATTGTATCAACTAAGCACGCATATCATCATATCATTTTATAGCAAATTTAAAAAAAAGAATAATCAAATTTGATATCATTTCCTTTCTCTATTTTATCATGAAGACAAACAATAATTATGTAGCAATAGAATTTCATCTCGCTGTTGAAATCACCATGGTCATAAATGAAGGTTCGCTGGACTTGCCTTCAGAAGTCCTTTGTCAGAATCCTAGGAGGTCTATGTCAAATCAGACAGCAACCAATCAATGAGAGATGTCAAAATGGTATTCAATGAGTCTTTATTACATGTTATTATTTCTACTTCAATACAAACATTCATATTTCCAGATTGAACATCAATTATTGATATTTATTTATAGACCCTTGTCCAGTCAATGTGATCCTCGTCCAGTCAATGTGACCCTCGTCCAGTCAATGTGACCCTCGTCCAGTCAATGTGATCCTCGTCCAGTCAATGTGACCCTCGTCCAGTCAATGTGATCCTCGTCCAGTCAATGTGACCCTCGTCCAGTCAATGTGACCCTCGTCCAGTCAATGTGATCCTCGTCCAGTCAATGTGACCCTCGTCCAGTCAATGTGATCCTCGTCCAGTCAATGTGACCCTCGTCCAGTCAATGTGACCCTTATCCAGTCAATGTGATCCTCGTCCAGTCAAGATGTTATTATAGGTCAGTGTACAATATTTGTGAACTATATATATCCCTCTGATAAAACATTTATAATGGAAAATCCCTTTATTATCAGATTAAAAAAAAAAAGGTTTATACTTGATTTAAAAGCGGCATTGGATGAAATTGCTTAGGTCTTTTCCAGAATTATTTGAATGGGAGTGGCGTGGGTGGGAGAGTGGGGACTTTTATTCAAATTTGATGCGTGGTGGTTATTTTAGACTTTACAATTTTATAATTAAAGTAATCAATTAAAATTTTATGCATGGCAGTGATAATAAAAAAGTACATTCCTATGACCTTTCCCCCTGCCAACCAACATGGCCAACATGGCTCAAAATAGAATTTATGGGTAGAATGCAAGTTTTGTCTATTATCTTGAAAACTGTATAGTCAACATGTTTGTCTGGCAGGATTTTCAGACCTTGATCTTATTTTCATGGTTCATTGGTCAGAATTAAGTTTTTGTGGTTTGATCAGGTTATCATATACTATAAGCAATAGATCAGCTGTATTTTGGTTTATGGTATGCTTGTAAGGTAAACATGTTTGTCTATCCACATGGTTTATATGACCATTACCTTATTTTCATGGTTCATTGGTCAGAATTAAGTTTTTGTGGTTTGGTCAGGTTCTCAGATACTATAAGCAATAGATCAGCTGTATTTTCCTTTATGGTATATGTTTGTAAGGTAAACATGTTTGTCTATCAACATGGTTTATATGACCGTTACCTTATTTTCATGGTTCATTCATCAATGTTTATATTTCATGGTTATATAAAAATAAGGAGATGTGGTTTGATTTTACATATTTTACAAATCTTGGAAAATTATATAAATGCAAAGTTTTTAGTATTTGTTAGTTGGTATTATCATTTTATATAAAAATAAAGAGATGTAGTATGATTGCCAATGAGACAACTATCTGCCAAAGTAAAAAAATAAGGAGATGTGGTATGATTGCAAATGAGACAACTATCCGCCAAAGTAAAAATAAGGAGATGTAGTATGATTGCCATTGAGACAACTATCCGCCAAAATAAAAATAAGGAGATGTAGTATGATTGCCATTGAGACAAATATTCGCCAAAATGAAGATAACGAGAGGTGGTATGGTTGCCAATGAAAACTATCCGCCAAAGTAAAAATAAGGAGATGTGGTATGATTGCCAATGAGACAACTATCCGCCAAAGTAAAAACAAGGAGATGTGGTATGGTTGCCAATGAGAACTATCCGCCAAAGTAAAAAAAATAGATGTGGTATGATTGCCAGTGAGACAACTATCTGCCAAAGTAAACATAAGAAGATGTCGTAATGGTATGATTGCCAATGAGAACTATCCACCAAAGTTAAAATAAGGAGATGTGGTTTGATTGCCAATGAGACAAATATTGGCCAAAATTAAAATAAGGAGATGTAGTATGATTGCCAATGAGAAAACTATCTGCCAAAGTAAACATAAGGAGATGTGGTATGATTGCCAATAAGACAACTATCTGCCAAAGTAAAAATAAGGAGATGTGGTATGATTGCCAATGAGACAACTATCTGCCAAAGTAAACATAAGGAGATGTGGTATGATTGCCAATGAGACAACTATCTGCCAAAGTAAACATAAGGAGATGTGGTATGATTGCCAATGAGAACTATCCACCAAAGTAAAAATAAGGAGATGTGGTATGATTGCCAATGAGAACTATTCGCCAGAGTAAAAATAAGGAGATGTGGTATGATTGCCAATGAGAACTATCTGTCAAAGTAAAAATAAGAAGATCTGCCATAGTAATAATAAGGAGATGTGGTATGATTGCCAATGAGAACTATCTGTCAAAGTAAAAATAAGAAGATCTGCCATAGTAAAAATAAGGAGATGTGGTATGATTGCCAATGAGAACTATCCGTCAAAGTAAAAATAAGAAGAACGGCCATAGTAAAAATAAGGAGATGTGGTATGATTGCCAATGAGAACTATCCACCAAAGTCAAAATAAGGAGATGTGGTATGATTGCCAATGAGAACTAGCCACCAAAATAAAAATAAGGAGATGTGGTATGATAGCCAATGAGACAAATATTGGCCAAAATTAAAATAAGGAGATGTGGTATAATTGCCAATGAAACAACTTTCCGCAAAGTAAAAAATTAGGAGATGTGGTATAATTAGGGCCCCCGCTGAATGGCAGACGCCCTATAGTGATCAGTCTGTCCGTCCATAACAAATTGTGTCCTCTCTATATCTAGAGAACGGTTATGATTTCAAAGTTTATACTTGACATGTATATTAATCGATACCAGAGAGTGTGTCATAATGTCTTGGAAATACAAGGTTATAAATAGTTGCGAGAAGTCACGTGACAAATCATTTAATCATTTAGACATTTTCGAACAAAATGAGTCCGTTTCACTTTGGTGTCACGTCTTCCAAGAGAAAGCCTGAAGATTATGAACGGTCTTCAACCACAGGCACTTGTTTCTATCCATAGGAAGGTCGACTATCCATAGATATAGAAGGATATTCAACTTTCCCATGGATAGAAACAAGTGCCTGTGTCTTCAACGTCTTCAAAAGAAATCAAATAAAGATCTCACTAAAGACCAAAAATGCGATCGTGAAAAACGGGAACGGACATTTAAGCCCCACAGGAAAATCAATTGACCGTGGCTATATTTTGATGAATCAACTGGTCTAATGTCATGCACATACTGCCAGAAGTTCCCCTGCCATTCAGAAAAAGAAAGTGCACTTGTAAGGGGAACACAAAATCTTAAAATAGCCCAAAAAAAATATACGAAGTGACACCCCAGCATTTATCTTGTTTAAAGCAGTGGATCCATGAAAGTGACCCAAATTTTAAGTCTAATTATGACTAAAGATTAATTGTCAGACACTAAACTTGGACAATGTATTCTCAAGCAGAATGTAAGCCTGATCAGTTAAATAGATATAAGGTTCTTTTCAACACTGCATACAGTATTGCAAAAAAGGGAAATCCTTCAGTGACGATGAATTTATTCTTGAAATCCAGTGCAAAAATGGTGTTGATGTGTAAGCAGTACTTCAATATTGAAGGCTGTAAACTGTTTATTCACTGGATAGCCCATTTAGGCATTATATGAGAAACGAAACATCACATGCAGTTCAAATATCACTACAAACTGCTCCGAGTCTGAAAAGACCAGTTTTTGTGCTCGACCAGTAAAGTCGAGCACACATTTTACTCGACTAGTCTCGACATTGTCTCGACAGTACTAAACTGTACTTAATTGTACTCGACTAGGTCTCGACTTTACTTAATTAGTCTGATACAGTACTTGATGATCTTGGTGTAGTCTGAAATGGTCTCGACCAAGGCTCGACCAGTCTCAACCAGTCTCGACCTGTCTCGACTAGTCTGGACCTTCAAATTTAGTCTTCACTGGTGTAAATCAGCTCATCTAACTAAATTATATATAGATCTTACAAAATACCAGTCTATTTGGTAGTTTGATTCATTGCTGTGAAATGAAAGAATTTAATTAATAGGTAAAAAAAAAGATTAAATTCAGATAGGCATCTTTAATTTTTTTTATAACTTTTTCAAATCAACTTGGATTTTCATCAAACGATGAAGCTATCTTAGTAATATATTGATCTTACTGAATCCCAGGTCATTATGTAGTTTGATGTATTGCTGTCAAATTTAAGAATTAAATTAATCTAGGTCCAAAAAGCTAGGATTTGCAGTTCAGACAAAATAGAGATAGTACACTTTAATTTTTTTTATAACTTTTTCAAATCAACTAGGATTTTCATCAAACTATACAGCTATCTTAGTAATATATTGATCTTACTGAATCATAGGTCATTATGTAGTTAGTTG